ATCTTGGAGAATGATCCATTCGAGACTGCATTGCCGAAGCCATCTGCGCCATGTCTTTCGGCGCCGCCGTCTAGGTATCTGTCGATGTCGACGATCCGGGGCAAACCAGCTTTCTCGATAGACAGCGTACTAGGACTGAGACTTGACGGCCATTGCAGGAAGTCATATACGTCGTCTGTAATGATAAGAGCATCATACTCTCGCGCCAGACGTACCAACTCCTCTCTACGCTTTAGACTCATAGTCTTGGAGCTAGGATTGGAGAAGCCTGGAACCGCGTAGATGACATGTTTGTAGATCTTATTCGAAGGCCTTGGAGGTTTGAATTGCTGGCCATATTGTTAGTAGGCATACGGCGATATCTACCCAGGTATGTATATTGCCATTAACAGCATCTTGGTAAATTCCAACAACAGCTCAGACTGCGGAAGATTCACAGCGACTTACCGGCTCATCATTGTTCTCAGATCTCGCCTTCTCCTCACTCAGCTTAATCTGACTCCTCAAATACGCCATATCAATACCCTCCTCATCCTCAGGCACGGCCCTCAGCTTTTTGTGAAACCCAGCATCCTCGAATATACGGAAAGCAAGCATATACGCCGGAGCGACGATCCACACATTCCGCGTATACACCGGATCTGTAAAGTCCTGAAGCAGACAAGCTAGATTCTGGGAAGCCCCACCAGAGATGCACATGCGGTCTTCGGATACCGGGTCCGCGGGCTTATAGAATGTCGTGAGCCATTGCGCAATATTGTTCTTCAGCCGCGGGTCACCTGAATCGGGACCATAGCACATGGCCGGGTACGCAATGGTCTTCTTCTGGAGGACATTATGGGTTGCTTTGTCGAGCAGATGCGTTGGAAGTAAAGACAGATTTGGCCATCTGGTGCTGTTAGCGATTACTCTAGGCTGAACAGTGTCTTATTGGGCCGCGTAATGCCCCAAAAGTGTAGCGGGTTTGCATGAATGGCAGGGGCACGTGCCCTCTCAGCAGATTGATCAGCTTCTTGGAGCTAGTCTTGGAGCCGACGACGTCCGGTAGGGCGAACGTCTTGAGTATCTGGTCCGCGATAGTTTGGCCGCCGCCCATATTGGATTCTGTATTGGATGCTGATGAAGCCGTGGCGGCGTCGGAACACGGCTGCGTACCGAAGTGGCTGGTGCGCAGGTATGGGGCGGAGTGGACTCAGGCCAGCAGTAATAACGTGAGAGTGCCGCGATTATATCAGATGCGAAGTTCGGAGATGAGTCTGTTGGCAGCAATTGAATGAAGCGTGCATGCGGTTTGTCATTGCCATGCTCATACCAACGTAAGGCGCGCCTCCAGCACGTGTGTATGACAGCCGCGAGGCCTCGGGTGGACGCTATCGATTAGAGGTGGTACGTCATCCGCTCGCTAAAGACCTCATCGATGCGGCCGGCGCTGTCAATAGTCCTACCGATGCTGCAAATGGTCACGAAAACACGACATGTCAGCTGCAGCTAAACAAATTCACCGGTGGCAGTATCGCACAGTATTCATCGACCGTTACACGTTTGAAGGACAGGACTCGAAACAGTCGTCTCTGGCACGACACGGCTGCGCAAGGGTCCGCTTCCAGCTTCCGTGGATGAGGTGGGTCTTGCCCGCAGCATGAGGCGCAGGTGCTGCAGGTCACAGCCAGCACTGGCAAAGGGTCTTTTGGACGTCAAAGCGGCCGCTGAGTGGCCGGTCGGGCATTCCAAGGTGTAAATGCACCCCAAGGCTGAAGAGCAAAGCCAATGACAGATGCAGAGAACGACCCACGTTGTGGCCACCCAACCTTTGACGTTACTCGTGCACTAGCATGGTTTGGTTACGACACTGCGGATCTGCGACAGCTCAAATATAGATCACCTAAACACCTAGTCCCTTCACTAAGCTTTTCAGTCCCTTTCGCCATATACTAACTGACCGGTGCTCGGGGCCCTGCATGTGTGGTGCTCGTGTTTGCTGTTGTGTCAAACCCATGTTGCTGCGCGCATAGTATATTTTCCTACGCTTCACGATACCCCAACTCTTGCTCCTCCCGCGCCGCATAGACAACAACTAGATCGCCTCGCCATGCTGGGAGACAAGAAGAAGTCCGCTCGCCGGCTGTCGAGTTTGTTTGGATCGTCGGGGTCGTCCGAGCCGTCAGGGTCTACGAATAATGCGAAGTTGAGCCCAACACCCGCGTCGTCAGAGTCCAGCAGCCGCTTGACCAAAGTGCGCAACCGCCTCTCTTCGGCGACACACCTCACGCCCGAATACCCTCCACCCGCCGCCCAGTCACCACGCGCGGTGTCTCTCTCCAACCCCACCATCCAGCCAGTCGTGCCTGTCGATCTTGAGCCCCTCGAGCCACCGCCGCCGCTGGAGGTGCCGTCGCGCGCATCGTCACCAGCGAGTAGCCGACCCGGAACGCCGAGCTTGGATCCATCCGAGGGCAAACTGAAGAAGCTGCGCAGGAAGAGCGGTCTCTTTGGCGGCCCACCCGGCGGCATTGAGGGAGTAGACGCTGCGTCTGGGGCACCACAAGGCAATGCGAGCCCGCTGGCATGGATCGTCGGACACAAGGGCAAGGTGCCATACAACCTGACGTTCCTGCTGAACGGCGAAAAGGTAGTCTGCGGCTATTCTCAGGATATCATACCAACGCTGACAAGATGAAAGGTCCCTGAACTCTGGGACGACGCTGGAGACACGTTTGTCTACCTCTTCCCCCGCACCTCTGACAAGGGCCCTTCCTTCCGCATCGACTCGTCCGTATACGGAGCATCGCATCTGCTCACCCGCCTCGTACATGGTAGCCTCTACAGCGACGCAAACGTGCCCCCGCTCGACCTGGCCGACCGCACATCGCGACGCGTGTCACGGGATCCATATGGCGAACAGTCGCGGACTGCATCGCCCGACCAGAGCCAGATAGGAAGCTCGGATGAATCCATATCCAAGGGGTCCAGAGCTCTCAGCGACGCCCTGGAGGACGAGTACACGGAGAAGCATCTGTACATGCCCATCTCGCTCAGCTCAGACGCTGCCATCACCCCTCACGAGCCCCGACTCACCGCAAACGATACCGACACATTGGTCACCTACCGCAACTTCTTCGCCTTCCTCATCGGACAGTCCCTGGTCGCTACGGAGCGCCACTCGGACATATTTGACATCTTCCTGCGAATCGGAGACATACTGTCACACTATGCCTTCTCCAACGTCGACGGTTCTACCTTTGGCGAGGTCGCTGCGTCGAGCTTTGACTGCTATGTTGATGAGTTGACCCTCGCAGACGTCCGCCACAGCCGTGAGAAGACCATAGAAGCCATCGTGCTGGGAGAAAAGTTGCGATCCATGTCCCTATACACGGAGGGTTTCGTCCACGCTGCTGGAAAGTACGACAGCATCAAAGAACTGGACTCGCCCAAATTTGGCATGATCAGCCCCAAGAGTGCGACGCGACTTGCCCGAGCTGCTATGGATCTTGACAACCGCGAGCAAACCATCAACCTAAAGCTCAAGGACTTTGAGTTTCCGCACATCTTCTCTGGCATCATGAACAGCGCCATGGCAAGCGAGGGCAAGGTCATCAGTTTCAAGAAGTGGAGGTCCGCCTTTATGACTATCAAGTCTTTCGTCATGGACTACTACAGGCACAAGTACGGTTCATGGCTACCAAAGGCCAAGTCGAAGAAGAACAACCTGACTACAAGTGGTCTTAACCGACTGGTCTTACTAGAGATCTATCGCGACATGGCTAGTCTATATGATCTCCTCGTGGATAGGAAGAACTTGACAAACCGTACTGCGGACGGCTTTATCGCAGAAGACGAAGGAACAGACATCGAATCCGTTGTCGCACGTGCGCTGAGGAAGGTTCTGAGCGAATACGACCGCAGCACACCACCCGTCGCGCCACCGATTCCTTTCGATCTACCACTCTACCCCATCTCACAGAACGCGAAGACAGGCGATGCGAAGAAAGACGCAAAAGCACGCGGAAAGAAGCTACACAAGGACGAGGTCGCCAAGCTACTGAAGCAATCGCACAACGCCGATGCCGAGCAGCAAACACCCTTCCTAGAAGCATTCAGCCAATTCGAATTCAAACAAGCCACCGGCTCCAACATGGACGACATGTGGGACATGCGATCAGGACAATGGCTCTTCCTATACGCCGTAATCCAATCCCTACCCATGTTAGTCGTCGACGCACCCGGCGTGCGCTTCACCGAAGGTGTAGAATACTTCCTATGCGAGGTCCCACGAAGCGGCGTCCCATGGGCCCGGGAAGACACAACACGATCGCGAACCTGGTTCGGCGTCGCAGGCGGCGCGCAAGTCGTGTCCTTACCCACCGACGTAGTCGAGCACGGCGTCGAAGGCACATTCCGCCGGTCGCACTGCTGGAAGAAAGCTCAGCAGTGGGCTGCAGACGACACACTACTTAATGCCGCGATGCAAGAACTTAATGCGAACGCGAGTCCGTTACCGCCGCCGCCCGGTCTTCTTGATCCTGGAGCGGCTGCCCGTGCGAGGAGTCAGAGTCCGGATCGAAGGCGGGAAAGCGTTATGAATTTGGGGTTGGAGGCGTTGCCGCTGCCGCCTGGTGTTGCGCCGCCGATGCCTATGGGGAGTCCGAGTTTGAGGCCGGCGAGCAATCATGATCCTAATAAGACTTTCGATGCTATTCTGGGGACGTCGGCGAGTGATAATGGGAAGAAGGGTAAGAAGAAGAAATGAGCAACGGACAATGAGGGATGGGCTATGGGGTGGATCGGGCTGGATTTGATGCATAAAAGCGCTTGGTTTCAGTGTTTATACCGCGTAATGTTGCATTTACTGGAGGTGGATAGTTTAGAGCGTTCTTGCCATGCTCGCAAACATCTGTTGTGACACAAATGCGCAAGTAATATTATAGAAGAGGCTGATATGTAGAAATGCTAGATGAATGATGCCTATCGCACTTGTCGCTAGTTCCCGCTTCGCATTATCGCCGATATCGTCGCGCCCTACACATTTACCCACACGAACACTCATCTTCGCAAAGTCGCGGGCTTTGGAGCTTCACTTGCTTCACCCGCGCTCTTCACATCTATCAATATGACGTCCTCGCTACCGGGAAATCGCGACTTGCCAGTCTCGCAGTACAACCTAGGGACGTACTGGGGTCGCGTGCAGCACTCAGCAAACATATCAGATCCGAGGTGAGATACTGCGCGCGTGGGACGACGATGTTTCTTTGGGGATACTGGGTGTGGTGAGTACCACAACCTTGAGCTTTTCCACTGCTTGTCCAAGTCTCTATAGTCATTCTATGGTCATTGCTAACCAACGCGCAACAGAACCCTCCTCACCTCGTCGGCCGGCCTCGAAAATGCAAAGAAACTCGTTACCGCGTACAAGACGGGCAAGATACCAGAGATGACACCTGAGCTGTGGAACGCAAAGAAAATTATCGACTCCACCATACACCCAGGTACTACAACCGGCGCGGCCGCATGACGAGGGGTAGATGCTGACAGAGTGAAGACACGGGCCAGCCAGTCTTCCTGCCTTTCCGCATGTCGTGCTTTGTTCTGACCAACTTGGTTGTCACGGCTGGTATGCTTACACCGGGTCTTGGGGTATGAGAAGCGTCTACATTTGGATGATGCGACGATATGCTAAGTATGTACAGACAGCGGGCACACTAGGATGGCAAGTCACGAACCAGTCGGTCAACGTCGGAATCAACTTCTCCAACGCGAACAAGTCGATCCCGCTCTCTACGTCAACAATCGTCCAATCCTACCTCCTCGCCGTCAGCGCATCGTGCGGTGTCGCACTCGGTCTTAATGCGCTGGTACCCCGCCTCAAGAGCCTGTCGCCCAACGCAAAAGTCATCGCTGGTCGATTAGTGCCCTTCGCGGCTGTCGCTACAGCTGGTGCGCTCAACGTGTTCCTCATGCGCGGTGAGGAGATCAGACAGGGCATCGACGTGTACCCTGCGCTATCAGAAGCCGAGCGACGCAGAGTAGACACGGGAGATTTGGAGGTCAAGCCACTGGGCAAGAGCAAGAAGGCAGCTACGCTCGCTGTGGGAGAGACGGCGCTGAGTCGCGTGCTCAATGCGACGCCTATCATGGTGCTGCCGCCTCTCCTGCTGGTGAAGCTGCAGAAGACGGAGTGGCTCAAGCAGAGGCCTAGGATGGTGACGCCGGTGAATCTGGGTGAGTCAATGTGAAGGGTGTTCGTAGGATGATGGCTAACGCGCAGTCAGGACTTATTTTCACAACGTCCATCTTTGCGCTGCCACTTGCGCTCGCTGCGTTCCCGCAACGCCAGGCTGTTAGTGCGAAGACGCTCGAACCCGAGTTTCATCAGCGTGGTGGCAAGGATGGTATGGTGGAGTTTAACCGTGGGATATGATGGACCGGTAGTATGGCAAGAGAACACGGTGTCAGTCTAGGTGAATAGCGGAAGCTGGACTGTGGAGTGAACTGATTCAGGGAGATATGGCATGCTACAGGGCATCAGACGCAGTCGAACATTGCTGCAAGTAGGCGGAGGACATGGTCGCGCTGCTGCATTGCGGCGAAGCCGGTTTTCCTGACGCTGTGATTGGCCAGATTGCTCAAAGGATCTCGAGAGCCGTACAGAGGACTCGACACGAGAAGTACATAAGACCAAATGTCCTCAATCCAAAAGTAGCTCTAGGCAGCAGTAAATTAAGCTTTATATCAAACGATCGTCCCTACATGTGACGTTGCGTTGATGCTATAACGTCAAACTGTCCTTTGTAGAAAGACCAGGTGTCAAATAAGTTCGGGACAGGGTAGCTCGATCCAAGTACATTACTACGAAACCGCCCACGCATTTCACCACTCAAAGGACCACGGTTTCGACCGACAACCTGTTCACCGCTTTTCTTCTTGGGATAGATTCCCAATCATTCTCTTCTCTTCTACCGAGGTTTTCTACTGCAACGTATAACCTCCCACACTTCTTCCCCGCGGCGAAGCACGCACATCCCACCACAACCTCTCCACGCCTGCCGTTAACGACACCTTTCACTTTCCCACACCACACCACACCACACATCATGGCGCCGCCCGGACGCCGGAGAGGCAACCTCTCACCGGGAGCCATGCTCCTCGGTCTCTTCTTCCTCTTCTCGACGACAGCCTCCGCCGCCTCAGCAGTCATCGGCGTAGACCTAGGCACCGAATACATCAAAGCCGCGCTCGTGAAGCCTGGCGTTCCCCTTGAAATCGTTCTGACCAAAGACTCGAAACGGAAAGAGACGTCAGCCGTCGCTTTCAAGCCTTCCAAGAGCGGTGCTCTACCTGCTGGCTCCTTCCCCGAGCGCTTCTACGGCGGCGATGCGATTGCGCTCCAGGGACGTTTCCCGGGCGATGTATACCCGAATCTGAAACATCTTCTTGGTGTGTCGAGTGAGAGCGATATTGTAGGCACATACAAGGAGAGATACCCTGCGTTGGAGGTCACAGGAACGGACAAGCGCAACACGGTTAGCTTTGTGAGCAGCGTCTTCGCTGAAGATAAATCATACACAGTTGAGGAGCTACTGGCTATGGAGCTGAAGAACGTCAGGGAGAACGCAAAGGCGATGGCGGGCAAGGGCTACGATGTCCAGGACGTTGTCTTTACGGTTCCGTCATTCTACACGGTGGACGAGAGGCGCGCACTTGAGGTTGCTGCTCGTCTGGCTGGTCTCAAGGTGCTCAGTGTTGTTTCTGATGGTCTGGCTGTTGGTCTCAACTATGCTACGGGCAGGACTTTCCCCGACGTTACAAAGGACGGCAAGCCGGAGATGAACCTAGTGTTTGACATGGGCGCTGGATCTCTGTCGGCTACTGTTCTCAAGTTCCAGGGCAGGTCTGTCAAGGATGTTGGCAGACGCAACAAGACTATCCAGGAAGTTCAGGTCATGGGCGCTGGATGGGACAGGACGCTTGGAGGCGATGCGATGAACTCGCTCATCGTCGACGATATGGTGGCTACGTTTGTTGAGCTCCCAGCTGCAAAAAGCGCTTCTTTCACCGCCGACAAGGTTAAGGGCCATGGACGTACCGCTGCGAAGCTCTTCAAGGAGGCGGAGAGGGTTCGTCAGATGCTCAGCGCTAACAAGGAGACTAACTCTTTCTTTGAGAGCTTCTACGAGGATGTCGATTTCAGGTACAAGCTCTCGCGCACCAAGTTCGAGGAGCTCACTGCCGACTACGCCAAACGTATCGATGAACCGATCAATCAGGCTCTCGCAGCCGCTGGCCTTACCTTCGCGGATATCGACTCTGTCATCGTCCACGGTGGCGCGAGCCGCACACCCTTTGTCCAGGCCCGTCTCGAAGCAATTGCAGGCAAGAACAAGATCAGGGCAAACGTGAACGCCGACGAGGCTGCCGTATTCGGCGCTGCGTTCAAGGCCGCTGGTCTCAGCCCGTCTTTCCGCGTTAAGGAGATCCGGGACTCGGACACCCAGGGCTACAACCACGGCTACCAGTACATGCTCAACCTTAAGGAGCGCGACCAGAAGATCTTCACATCCAACACCAAGCTTGGAGCGACCAAGGACCTGCCTTTCAACTTTATGGGCGAGTTCGAGTTCACCATGTACCAGGCTGTTCCCGGCGCTAACGGCGAGGTGTCCAAGGAGCCTACTCTTCACTTCCAGAGTGGTAACTTGACTAAGGTTGTCACCCACATGATCAACGAGAACAAGTGCGAGCGCGACAGCTTCAACAATTATGTTCAGGTTAGGCTCAGCCCTGTTACCGGTACTCCTGAGGTCTTGTCTGCGTGGGTTACCTGCGAGACTGAGAGCGAGGAGGTCAAGGGCGGTATTGTGGATGGTGTTAAGAATCTATTTGGTATGGGCGGCAAGAAGGATCAGGAGCCGTTGAAGGAGGGTGAGAGCTCTTCTTCCTCTTCTGCCTCGTCCTCCAAGTCCTCCAAGTCATCGTCCTCTTCGTCTTCCACAGGTGCTGAGAGCACTGACGCTGCGAAGGCTGGAGAGAAGAAGATCAAGACTGTTAGGTCGGCGATTACGTATGATGTTGAGCAGTTGGGTTACAAGAAGTTCCCTCGCAAGGAGATGAAGAGGATGCAGGACAGGTGAGTTTGCGAACTTTGTAACATTCGTTCAAATACTAACGTCAACAGGCTCGCCGCTTTTGATTCCTCGGACAAGTCTCGCCGAACTCGCGAAGAGGTCTTGAACTCGCTTGAAGCCTTCACCTACCGCGCCCGCGACTACCTCGAGGACGAGTCTTTCATCGGAGCTTCCACTTCTGCCGTCCGCGAAACACTCGAAAAGACTCTCAGCGCCGCATCAGACTGGATGTACTCCGGCGGTGCCGATGCAGATGAGAAGACTCTCAAGAGCAAGCTGAAGGAGCTCGAAGACATCGTCAACCCAGTAATGAAGCGCAAGGATGAAGCGGCCAAGCGCCCCGACGCCATCAAAGAGCTCAAAGAAACCATCGCCCACATCAAAGAAGTCGAGCAACTAGTCGACAGCCAGATCAAGACGCAATCGGCCGAGAGCTCCAAGAGCAGCGAAGCCGTCTCCAAGGCGTCCGCTGAAGCCTCTGCCTCGCCCTCCACCGACCCCATGGACGACCTCGACGAAGAAGCCGACGCACCCGCCGCGCCTGAAATCACCGAAGTCCCCACTATCTACACAGAATCCGACCTCAAGACCGTCCAGGAACACGCGCAAAAAGCACAGGTCTGGCTCGACGACAACGAGGCTAAGCAAGCTGAACTTGGTCCCACAGATGATCCTGTGTTTACTGTCAAGGACATCATGGCCGAGAAGAAGAAACTAGATGATGTGGTCATGGATATGATGATGAAGAAGATGAAGCATTTCAAGCCACCGAACCAATCTAGTTCGAAGACCAAGACCGCGAAGCCTAAGACTAAGAAGGCGAAGAAGACTAAGACGAAGAAGGCGGCGAAGGCGGCGGAGACTGAGAACCCCGCTGCCGAGGGCGAGAACGCACCGAGCCAAGCGGAGTTGGAAGAGGCGCTAAAGAAGGCGGGCTTCAGCGCTGAAGGCATTAAGTTGCAGAACATGGGGAGTAAGACGGGCGATGTGACGGATGAAAAGGGCAATCTGCTCAAGAAATTGGATATTGGGGAGGATGCTAGTGAGGAGGATATTAAGGCTGCTATTGATCGGTTGGTGGCGCAGGGGGGCAAGGGGAAGAGAGAGGAGGGGAGTGATGAGCTGTAGATCGTGATGACACTAGAGGAAGGGGAGGATGTGCTCGTATGATGGGGGAAGGAGATGGAAGTGATAGACGATAAAGTGATTAGATGATCAACGTGAATGCAAATTTGATAAGTCAACGATACGAGCCTCTTTATACACTGTTTGCCTACTCTTACATATGTTAAGCTACCGGCTTCCACACCTTCCAGCCTTCCACGTCAGCGCCTGCGCTCTTGAGCATCAACTCTACGTCCATTTCAACCTCTTTTGCAGTTTTACCATCAACGTCGTAAGTAGAATGCGCACCTTCCAGCAAGACGACTTTAAATCCAGCGGCTAGAGCACCTCTGCACGTTGAAAGGACGCAGCATTCACTTTGTATACCAAAGGCTACCATCGTGTCTATACCCGAGTTCTTCAGCCGGGCGGCAAGCTGAGGGTTGGACTCGAAAGTATCACCTAAACAATTAAAGATGGAATCTAAAGAGCTCAATATACTCACGGACGTCCTTCCCTACAAGCCTCTCCCACACATCCCCCTCCCTTGGCTTAAACACCAACTCCCACGCCTCACTCCCTCTCACCAAATCACCTTTTTCCGCAACCTCCTCGTGCTGCACAAACACAATTTCCAAGTCTGGTTCTCTTCCCTGTTCACACGCCGTGTCAATGGCTTGACGTGCTCGTTGTAGGATGCTCGTTCCGGCTTCGCGGATGCGTGCTGCGGCCGGTATTTCGGTTGAGCTGTTTGAAGCTAAGGAGACTTGGATGTCGACTACGAAGAGGGCTGTACGTGGCATGGTGGATGAGGAGTTTGGATGGAGTTAGGAGATTGTGATGTTGGACAGGTTGGATGTATGGTGTATGAGTCATGGCAAGTATACTGGCGGAGGTAGAGTCGAAACACTCAGAAAACTTCCGAGAGGATAAGAGAAGTAAAGCAGCACGATGGAGTTGGTGAGTTTATCTGTCGTCTTCGAAAGGGTATGTGCAATGGTGGAATCTACTTGCAGTGTCTCTGCAAGATTGGCGCTGGAAAGTTACACAGTCTTACCTAGTCGAGCAACGAGATGCTAGACGCCGCTTGCAGTAAAGATGAGGATATACGTTGCTTGGTTATGCCCATGTAGCACGTTGAAAGCTTAAGGCTTGAAGCTCTCAAGTCCGCTGACTGTACACTGACCAGCTTGAGCAGATGAAGTCGTCCTCATACGCGTGATACGAGAGCTATGAAACGCAGAGTTCAAGCCAGCGAGGGGCAGAGCATGCCAGACTGGGAATAGTGAGTTGATGCAGCATGTGCTGGCTATCGTCGTTGTGGTAATTACGAGCGAAGAGAAATTAGTTCAAACAGGAGGGGTACACTGTGCCCCGCCGCAGAGCCAGCACAGCGATACGTGGACATGAAGCGGCTGGTAAGAATCTTCCAAGGTTCGATGAAGGCGTCAACGATATATCGTGAGATTTGGTAGCCCTTCTTTGTTTTGACGAGCTTGTGCCACTTGCGATCGGCTTCCTACACCGACCTTTTTACAAAGACGTGAATCAGAGGCTCAAAGATTTTCTGCTCATCGCCATGCGCGCGTACAACGGTCTGTCTCGTGGTGGGGTAATGGCTATCTTTGAGTAGTCATGTTACATGCTGCAGAATGAGGCTGTACTCGCATGAAGGAAGATCCAGATCCTATCAAAGGCGACGATTCTCAAAAAGGCATGCAGGCGGGAACACTACCGGGGCTTCACCCACTGAAATCCGATGGCTCCATGCTGGAAGCGTTGAAAAGTATGGGGCGCGAGACCGTTGGTGTACCTTTGTGGTTACGGGCAGCAACCGTGCTGCGCTAAAGTGTCGGTGTGTAAACAAACTCCAGCACGCTTTTGACACGTCGACAACGCACGCACTAGCCATCCCAACCACCTCGCAGTCCAACCCCCACCGGGTGCCGCCTCGGCTCACCATGAATTTCAGATGATGGGATCCCTGACCTCCCGTTCTATTCATTCTGCAATTGTTCAATCTCACAAACCTTGAGTTACACACTGCGAAGAATTGTTGCACAGCGACAGAAAGGTCCGATATGGCTACTACCATGCACCACCCGTCTCCCCAGCCGGGCCTTACCTCATTCGCCATCTACGAAGACCCACAGGATCGCGAACCCATGTCGCCTTCGGACTTGTTCGACGGCAGTGACTCGTACCACTCCGAACGCTCGTTCCCTATGGCCCACGACGTTGTACATAGCATTGAGCTGGCACAGCAACAGGAACCCGACGACGAGCCCCAACCCTACCGCAGCTCCTACACATCACGGCCGGGGTCCCAGCAGCGCATGTCCTCACATTACAGCTTCGTCTCGGCTATTCCATCCGAGTCGTCGATAGCTTCGAAACCCATCCTTCCCGCTAACGAAGCCGGTGCACGAGCACGCAAAGAACGTCCGCGCTTCCGGAATACAGAGTCTGTCCGCGCCATGCAGATGTCGTCGCCGCCGCCAACACTCGCACACCAGACTTCCCAAGAGCGACTGAAAGGCTCCTTCAAGCTGGCTACACCTAGCAGGAGCAGCAGATCAGAGCACGACATGTCGAGACAGTCCACCGGATCACGGAGGCGGAGCATACGGGAGCCTCATAGTCCGAGACCGACCCCGACACCACAGCAGGCTCCGCTGGTCTTGCTACACGTTACCATTCTGCCCATGCAGGTACCATACTCGCACGACATCATGGCAAGGATCATGCCTGATTGGCTAGTGGAGAACTACAAGCTACTGGAGGAGAAACTGCAGGACATCATCCTGATGCGACGCGGGCTTCTCATCCCGCACCCTAGGGACGAGTACGACCTACTCGAGGAACGCATACTGGAGAGCTTGGAGCTCAGGACACCCCGGCTGCTCCCATGCGGCCACTTTGTCCCACCCGAGGACGAGGACGAGCGGGAAGATGAAGACGATGTCGCGAGCGTCGGCGACGAGAACACTGGGCGAGGCAGTCGCATGAGTGGAGGCACATTGACCGAAGGAAGCAACACCTCACACAATGGCGACCACAGCATGTGCATAGACTGCCACCGCGAACTCAAGAAGCCCGGCAAAGGCATCGGTGCCGGCACACGGAAATGGGACATCAAGATCTACGCCGCCAACGGTCTGATGCGCGCCGCCGCATGGCAAGCCTGCTGGAACGACATGGAAAGATGCGACGTCGAAATCCACCCCTGGATCCCCGAAGAAGTCCGCAAGACGCTCGAGCGCCGCGCCCAGGAAGAGCAAGAAGCCGACAAGCGCAAGGCACAATACACCGTCGAACTCCAACGCCAAATCCAAGAAGCCGCCGCCAAGACCAAGATCCTAGAAGAGGAAGCCAACGAGGCAAAGCGCAAGGAGGAGGCCGAACTACAAAAGAGCTTCGAAGAGGCCGCCGCCGCCCTGCAGCGCAGCATCGAAGAAAAGGCCGCCGAGAAGAAGAAGTTCGAAGAAGACCTACAACTCAAGCTCAACGAAGCGAAGGAAGCCGTCCGCCTCGAACTCGAAGCTAAAGCCCTCGCTGAATCCGACGCGGTTGCCCAGCGCCTGCGCGCCCTAGAGACCGCTATCAAAGAACAAGAGAGCGCTGAAGCTGCCACACGTCTCTCAGCGGCACAGATCCCTCTCAGCACACTGCTGAAGAACTACATCATTCTTCTGCTCAGCGACAAGCGCAACTCTGTTATCTTGTTGCTGGCTGTCGCTGTCGCATACATGGCGATGAACATGCATGCTGCTCAGCAAGTACCCGCGTCGGCGCAGATGCTCGAGCTGCCGACTGAGGTTGCGGCAAGCATGCCGAATGCTGTTACGGCTACTATGACTGCGACTAGTTATTCTACGTTTACGGTTACGGAGTTTGCGACTGCTACTGCTGTGCCGGTGCTTGCTGTTGCGGATCCGGAGATCGACTCTGTGGCTGAGGAGGTGAAGGCTGAGGTCGAGGTTGTTGTAGAGGAGAAGGCGGAAGAACAGATATCAACCAGTCCAGCCGTGGACCTCGACCTCTTCGACGTCGTTGCTGAACAGTCTACTTCTCTCGCTGCTGAGGTTGAGGCTCAGACGGACGTCGTTGCTTCCAACCAGACACCGGCTGAGACCTCCTTCTGCGCTTCAGAAGTCGAACCCATTTTCCCCGCGTCGCTTGCGTACTGCGCTGCATCGGCTTAGATGCTCTTCCGCAAGCTCTCCTTCTCCCCACCCCCATATTTCCTCCTCTTTTCCTTGTTCTACTTTTTACTTTTCTTCCAAGCTTATAACGCATACCCCTCACGGCCTCCATCATCTATATGCATACACCACACGATACTATACCATGTCTTTCATGTTCATGTTCATGACGTAATGTAGCGGTTTCGATCGAAGATATCCCTTTTCTTTCGCTTTTTCTTTATGGTTGTTCCCTTTGGTCAGGGCATAGCGGGAGCGTGTCGTTAGGTTTTCCCTTGGTTGGATAGCATGGGTGTGGAGAGTATATACCAATACCGAAGAATGAAGATATGATATTATTCTGTTACCATGTGTGGCTCGGTCTCAGTGTGTTTGGGTTGCTGTGAGAGACTGAATTGGTGGTGTGGATGCGGTGAGTAGGAGGCATATCAGTGTAGTCTGGAGACTATTCGACGTAACCTTGAAGTTCATTCAACACAAGAAAGGCAACATAGTAGTCCAACAGACAGGTCTCTGTGATTATCAGATTCGTATCCAATAGAGCTCTGCAAGTATCGTCATGCACAAGCATCCATCTTTCAGTCTCCTTAATCCCAAACACACCAATTCCCACCCATCCCCAATCCCTCCACCGCCTACTCCTCAGCCTGAATACCCTTCTTCCTCAACTCCTCCCTCTTCCTCTGTGCCCTGCTCTTCGCATCCTCAACCCACGCGTCATAACTGCCCTCGCCCTCCTGCAACTTCGCCCTCGTAACCGCCTTCAACAACTCCCCCACAAAGCCCACGAAATTGTGTCTCCTTAGCGAGTTCTCGTATAGCCATTTCGCGCGCTTGTCCTCCTGCTCTTCGAGCTCGTCCTCGTCGCCTATCTCCCGTGCGCGGATGCGCAGGTCACGACAGCAGGCCATGAGGTTGAAGCGGATTTCCGAGGCGGGGTAGCGCGCAATGCGTCGTTGGAGGACGGGAATTATCTTGTTGGGGAAGTCGGAGGGCGTGCAGGGGCCGTGGAGGATGGGCGCGGGTTGGAGGCCGTCGAGTTCGTAGAGTTTGTTGTTTATGGATGTGTAGCTGAATGCGTGTGTTAGTGACCTGTGGGGGAGTGGAGGGTAGGTGGGTTGGTAAGTAAGGTGACTTACGCGATGAAGTGGAAGACATCGTCGTCTTCAGTGGCTGTCCGCTGTGTTTCGTCGACGAAAGGTGAGGAGCGCGCGAAGGAGTTGTGGGTTTCGCGGATGAGATCGGAGTTTGATAGTGTTTCTCCTCGTAGCTGCCCTTCTTATCAGCCACTGCTATCCAATGTAGATAGTCCTTGCCTTCACTTACCTCTGGTGGAAAGTCCCCTGCAAACTCCTTAAACTCCTTCAGTTCCTTGCCAATATCCACCTCTTCTTCCCTGTTCAGCAACAGCGAAACAATCGCTTGTGTACCACACGCATTTTGTATCGTTTGCGCAGGGAAAAAGAGCTTATTCGCCGCTTCGTAGTCGTACGTCCCATCTTTCGGTACGTCGCTGGGTTTCTCGCCGGTCGGGTACTTGAAGAGAAATATTACACCATACAGTGTACCGAGGGCTTGTAGGTCTGACGGCTCAAGTGTGGTGAGTTCTTCGAACTCCACGCCCTTGACACCGAGCTTCTCGATGAGGTATGTGAATACACCCTGTGGTGGTCAGTATGCGATTTCTCTCTCGAAGGATAGTGGCGGGCTTACGGCATCGGACTCTATGGTGTTCCAACCTCCCGACATGTTTGTGTAGAGAGAGAGCGGTGTGAGTTTGCGAGTGTGCTGTCGCTGCGAGCGGACCTACGCCATCGACAGACGCCGCCGGAACAACTCCTCGGCCCGCGCTTCGGAACGTTCCGATGCCCCACTATGAATTGGAAGTGAACAAGGTCTTCCCATGTGCTGGACCCTCTACCCGGTATCGCTCGTGTTCATGGAATCATCTTCTCGTATCACAGAACAAAGGTCTTGGCGAATATGTACGGGTACGGTCACAGCATGGAGTCGGCGCATCAGCCCTGCAATGACGTCTACTGTTCCAAAGTTTCGTTTCATTCCAACCCTATCCAAGGTTATGGCTAGAGCAAGGCTGACGGGGCTCCTTACTCAGTACTTCTAGTTATCTCAGACCTCCTTGCAGGATCTCCCTTATAAGATCCGTATACAGGTAGGTCTGCTGCGTACCGGCAGATAGATCGGGAGCACGCTTCTCAGCTTGCTTCACGATAAGCTCATACTCTCTGATTCTTTCTCCTTTCAGGACTAGACCTCGATTCCATTCACGTCGGTCGTCACTTTTCGTTCCGTCCTATTGGCAGCTATGGCTACTAGTATGCATCGTGAGTGGGCCCTGGTCTGCTTCCCGAGCACGCAATGGACTTGGAACTTCGCGCGATGGACGTGGGTAGTGACTACCCAGATACGTCAGAGTGTAAACAAATTCAAAGGTATATCAACACTGTGCAGTCCAGCGAGCTCAATTTCCACCCACAACCATGATTCCAAGTCAAATCTTACTGTTGCTTTCCTTCGGTATAGCCGCTGTTGCAGTGCGCTCTACCAAACCCAATTTCATCTTCATCATTACGGACGATCAAGACTTACATCTTAATTCGCTTGACTACCAACCTGCTGTGCAGAAGCATTTCGCCCAAGAGGGAACTTGGTTTAAGAAGCATTTCTGCACCGTAGCACTATGTTGCCCATCACGGGTTTCGCTCTTGACTGGGAAAGCTGCCCATAACACGAATGTCACGGACGTCTCTGCTCCTTATGGTATGTGGGATGTAAAGGGGATAAGCTAGAAAATTGTACTAACTACCAGCAGGTGGATATCCTAGGTTCATCGAGGAAGGTTTCAATGATGCTTATCTACCCGTGTGGCTTCAGGAGGCGGGCTACAACACATATTACACTGGAAAACTGATGAATGGACACTCCACCTCTACATACAACGCGCCACGAGCCAGTGGTTGGAATAGTTCTGACTGTAAGCATCCCAGTACCACTACAACAACGCTGTGAAGCCACTGACATCTACAGTCCTGATTGATCCCGGAACATACGTCTTCTACAACTCAACCATGACGCGTAACCACGACATCTACAGAAACTTACCAGGAGAATATTCAACCGACCTCGTAGCCAATGCTGCAGTCACATTCCTAGACGAAGCCATCGCAGCACCAGACCGACCTTTCTTCATCGGCGTCGCACCCATAGCCCCCCACTCAGAAACAATCACCAATCCCCGCCCTACAAAGTTCAACCTACCCGTCCCTGCGAAGCGACACGAGCATCTCTTCCCTGACGTAAAAGTACCCCGAACACCGAACTTCAACCCCACCAAAGTAAGTAATCTCACCTCTTCCACCGCAGTTCCCATCTCACATCCCCACCTCCAGCCAGGAACAGCATCCTACTTCTCCACACTGCGCCCGCTCAACGCCTCAGAAATCGAGTACAACGACGCCTGGTACCGCGCGCGCCTCCAAACCCTTCAATCCGTTGACGACCTCATTGAATCTATTGTCGACCGTCTGAGCGAACACCCCGAGGTGCTGGAGAATACCTACCTAATCTACACAACCGACAATGGCTTTCACATCAGCCAACATCGACTACCTCCCGGCAAATCCTGCGGCATAGAAGAAGATATCAACATACCCTTTTTCATCCGCGGTCCGGGTATTGCCAAGAACGCTGTTCAGAACATTCCGTCTAGTCATACTGACATCGTTCCTACGCTGTTTCATCTCGCTGGTATACCACCCCGGGAGGACTTTGACGGGGAGCCTATTCCCGTTACGGGAGAGATGCAGGAAAAGGGTGGCAAGAGCGAACACGTCAACATTGAGTTCTGGGGCGAGTATCTGGTGGAGGGTAATACGTTCTACGGACAGAGTGCGTGGGCAAACAATACGTACAAAACGGTGAGGGTGGTGGGGGAGGAGTACGATCTTGCGTATACGGTGTGGTGTACGAATGATCATGAACTTTATGATATGAAGGTTCGTCTCCTTTTCCTTTGCTCTCTCCCCCTCTCTTTACTTCAAAGGCTTGGAAATCGGGGTGCTAACGAACCCCACGCAGACTGACCCCTACCAACTCACCAACCTGCACTCTACAACCACAACCAACACCACGACCCGCATAAATACATGGCCCATCCAGAAACTCACCGCTAGACTCGATGCCCTCTTACTCACGCTCAAGCGCTGCAAAGGCCGTGTGTGTACGAGGCCATGGGAGAAACTGCATCCAGAGGGCAATGTGCGCAATCTAAAAGATGCTATGCACGCAAGGTACGATGTGTTTTACCTTGAGAAGCAGAAGAAGGTTAGCTTTGACGAGTGTGCGTTGGGTCAGATTTTGGAGGTCGAGGGGCCGCTTGAGCCGGTTGTTTGGAGGGAGGAGTGGGATGCGTGGAGTTGGGCTACATGATGATGAAGGGATGGATTGGATATTTGTAGTGGGAGTGATGGGGAGAAGAAAGAGTGGTATGTCATGATCAGGTTTCTCTCCACGCCTGTGAGACTACCGAGAATAGAAATTTGGGAAAGAAAGGAATCACGTCCAAAACGCATCCTCGAACTGAAAAAAATGGGACATGCCTCATTCTTCGAAGAACCCAGTCTCCACACATCTCATAACATAACCTCTATCCGTAGCACAAACCCACACACCTGCACCAAGCGTTCGGTGCGGTATGGCCGTATGGCACTGACAGCTGAAACATTCCCCACTCACCTCACGGCAATACCTTCAGCATGTAACATCACCGCGATCTGAAACACATCACCGGTATCAGGCCACCCAATATTCATGGAGAAATCCATATCTGGGAAGTTTTTTTTCCCATGCTTTCACGACTCGTATGAAAGCGAAGACGAGTGACTGACTCAGCATACTGGTCGTCGATCACGTGTGGGGAACGCAATCTATTGAAAGAAAGCGACAAGGCTCCCGGCCTGATTACCTGCCAGATTTGACACATTACGGCCGAGACCGAATGTTTCAGGTTACGGAGGACTTTGCTCAAACGTAAATACTTGGGTGTGATTGGTAGAGTTGGGATCATTGGGTTATGTATCAGGTTACGGATCAGCTGTACATGGGCGGTTGGTGGGTGTATTGGAATTTGGATTGGCATACTGAGAAAGCGACTTAGGCTGCTTGGGGAGAATGATAGTTGTAGTGTATGTTTAGGTAAGGTTTGGGCCGACCGGCTTGCATAGGTGTTTTCTTGTAGCCTCGAACGATATATTGGCAATATGAAGGATTGAACTGGGGGCATGAATGTCTATGGAAGTATGTGGCAGAGTGTCTAGGATGTGAGATCGACGATAGTAGGTATGATGTATTGCATTGTACATGAACGTTTTCAAAAACTTGGTTTTGCGATAGGTCATGATGATGTTCAGCCGGCGTGGAAGTGGAGAAAAAAAGTCCCCCAATGGGTTCGGAGCAATTGACCATGTCACAGTGCAGGTAATGGCCCGTGAGGGCGGAGAAGAGCATGTGTGTGTGTGTTCACTCTGTGTCGCCTGCCACATTTGCCGGTAGAATCGCTTCCGCGCCAATGGTAGGGCAGGGTGTGACGCTTTTTATAGCTCTGGGCCGACGGGTGGAGAGGGATGCTTTGCATGGTCGTGCAGGTGCAAAGTGTGGCTTGCAGATGGCTGGGGAATGTGTATTGCGCGCGCGCTGAAAAGACGGATTGTTTGTGTTAAGACTTGCATTTGGTAACCGGCTTGGCTGCGATGTCTTGTTGTCGCGTGACTGACTGTGTGGTGTCGCGACATGAAGCCTCTTCAGACGTCATAAAATGTATGTATAGTAACGTTCTGATGTTTTTTTGTGGTCGCTGAATCGCTGAGTCGGTTAGTAGTGCGCTGCCTTAGTGTACGCTGAAAGGCTACGCTGAAAAGACCAGTAGGCCATCGGAAAAGACCGATGCGACGATGGACGAAAGATGCGAGTGGAGAGGTGTCTTCTAACCCTAGTCGCAGAACCCCAGAGAAAACATGGCTGCATGGGTAGCCCTAGATGCATCGTCGGCTGCAAAATTCCCAGGGTAAAAGGACCTTAATCCTAAGAATAGCTCCCACGGATCTATGACAACCAAACACCAGCTCGATGTAGTCAGGTGGCTGAACGAAGCCTAGCCTGCGAATACATATCTTGTCGCATGAACCTGCTTTCGCGCATTCCGCTATGTCATTTAGTAGACTTTTAGCCTCGGTGGTTGCAAGAGGGAGGTAGGCGACGGGTGCCGCCGCGATGCCACTGGTTCCTGGTTTAGAACTCGTATCTTGTGGCAGCTACTTTTGCTCCACCACGCGACAGTATCGCGCGTATAGAGAACGTCATAGGTACAGCCCTACGACGAGGCTCGGATGAGGATGTCGGCGACGAAATCGAGATATCGTCACAGCAGCTGCGATGTGTGGCATGCAGCCTGTTGTGTCAGGCGGCCACGAGCAGGGTCGCGTAATTACTGTATAGGCCCCGCCAGCAAGCATTCTCCGCTGCATGAGATATTGCCAGACAGAGGCGGGGGAGGTTCCCAGGTTGTTTTACCCAGTATTGCGATGGTGTCGCCATTGCCACAGGCGAAGTCACAGCGGAAGCCACAGTGCTTAATCATCGCGCGGCGCCCTTCCGTCGATAGCGGAAGGACAAGAATAGAGCGAGGTCCGCCGCCACTGCTCGGCGCAACTGGATGCGAAGGAGCGGTATGAGGATGGCGGCATGAGGATGGGCCAGCGTAGTATCGATACAAGTGAAGCCAGCGCGGGCACCATGGTCAGCGCGATGGCAGTGTGTAGACCCTTTTTGCGTGCGGTCTGGTGACAGGTGACGCACGGAGGGCTATTTTTGACCGCGAGATATTGAGGGCCCCGGCTTCCGCAGTGTTTAGCGATCGCTGGCATCGCATCAGCAACGTCAGTCTGATTCGCCATGGCGACCTCATCAATGCGAGATGCGAAGCTGGACTCTCAGTGCGTGCAATTGGGCGGCGGTCGCCCGTGGTCGCCCGTCACCCGTGGGCGCTACCACCTCACTCTGACATTCTGGAGCGTCTGCGAAAAAATTAGCAGCGCGCGCGCCCCGAAGCTGACCCGGCGAGCGAGGCATGGTGGCCTCCCTCACCCACTATTCCGCAGGCGGCTTCCAACTACCCGTTACAGCATGGCCAGCGAGCTATCCAGGTGCTACTGGTCGATCGTTCTCCACGCACGGCCCGCGCAGCTGTTGGCGTTTCCTCGGTCGTCGGACCTGAATGGCCGTTTTTCACGCCTCTTGCGCTCTGAGCCCGAGCCCCAGCTGGAGCGGCTCATGCACCTGCACGCTCAAACGTCTCCGTCTCAAGCGGACTGACAGGGGCTTTGACCAGAGGGCCACCAAATGCTGCTTTCTGCTCCATGGCCGTCGGCGAACTAGCACCTTCACACTGCACCCTAGCCCTGGGCTCAACCCTCACCGACAGGGGCCTGCTTCATTCATCCAAACACGCCCATCTTCTTTGAGGGACGCAGCGATGCATGCCTGAAAGCGCCCGCCGGATGCGAGGGTTCACGTCTCGTTGGAACCTTAATCCCCACGGGAGTTACACCGGGGCTATGTCATACGAGCAGGAGCCAGCCGGTGCCATCTGGGTATCAGTCACTCCATCGTCTGTAGCTCCCGCAAGCTTCTCTGCCCTCCCTGCTAGCCTCTCCCGTCTCGCGGGCTGCCACCCAAGTCCCTCTTCCGCCGCTCGTGGCGTCACTGCTATTTGTGTGGCCGCTACCTTGGGCTAACCCTACCTGGCCCCGTTTCTCGACGTTTGTCGTCTTTGGGACCGAGCACAAGTCACCCTGCGCTTTGGCTCGCATACCACCCAAGTCCCTTCTTCAGCCTGGCGAGCCTCTAGCCTCGAGCCTTGTCCTGATCCTGCATGGTCACTGTGCAGGGGGTAGGTTGCAGACGAGCTTGACCACTTCCGCTGTCACGTCGTCCTGTCGTACCCTCTTAGCCTGTCCGCCGGAGGTATTGCTGGCCTTGCGTCAATATCTCTCCAGCCCTAGAGCTATCTAAGCTCATCCCATCTGCACTCTGCACTATATATCACCAGAACGCCCACGAACAGCCTCCAAATCAACACCCTGTCCAATTTAGTCACCGGTTTCGACCCCATTACCCTCGCTTTATCAACCGCTCGCCAGATCTACCGCCCGCATATACACAGCCCCTCGTCTATCCCACCTTCCCGTCCATCTCGCATAGCACACAACAAGAGAACACTGCCTACGACTGATCCTGTACCCTGACGTGCAACGACGACCACGCCGTACGGTCCACTTCCCACTCTCGCTAAACTACTTCATCTACCCTCTTGAAAAATGGCTGGTCCCGGTGGAGGCCCTTCAAGGCGCAGCCATACCAAGTCCCGAAAGGGCTGCAAGACGTGCAAGAGGCGGCATATTCGCTGTGATGAAACATTCCCGCAATGGTGAGAACCAACAACTCTTTGTTCACGACTCATGTGCTGACTTTACACCAGCCGCAACTGCACCAAGCACCAGGTTCGCTGCGACTACATGGACAGTCCAACTGCCATGATGCCAGAGTCTCCCCAGTCTCCTCAGCAGCCCAACCTGCTCTGGACGCCCGAGATCGAGGCCACCATCGAACTCTGGAGACAGACGGGAGAGTTCCCTTTCCCCGATCTCCGAGTATACCCACAGCCGCAGTGGCGCGCCTTGACGACGGTTGACCTCCGTCTGGTGCACCATCTTGCCTCTATTTCGAATGAGATGTTCAGAAACAGGACCTCGAAATCGACTCTCTGGACCGACATGATGCCCAAGTACGCACCTACCACCCCAAGCGACTATGCCCAATAGCAACACTAACGTTTCTAGATTCTTGAGCATAGCCGCAACCCATCCATTCGTTATGCACAGCATCCTCGCCTTTTCTGCCTCGCACTTGGCCTGGATCTCTCAATCAACCGAAACCCGAAACCTCGCATTCCATCATGCAAGTCTTGCTCTCAAGGGCTTGCACGACGGCATCACCAACTTTACTAAGCACAACTCGGACGCAGTGCTTGCGGCGTCTCTCCTGCTTGCATGGCAGGCGACAGACTGGTAAGGACGATCTGAATATATTGGGGTAATCAAAACTGACGCAAGGCATTAGGCGAGGCTGGGCTTCTCTAGTCACAGGCACCAAAACCGTAGGTTTCACGAACACGAAGAAGTAAGCTCAGACGCTGACTCCAGACAGGTCATCCAATCCATGCAGCCCTGGAGGCATGAGTCTCTGTTCGCCGACTACATTGCAGAGCACACACCTATGCCAAACCGACACTTTATGAACCCGATCAGTACCCCGATTTCGCCAGAAGCACGAAGAGAGCACATGAACGCCTTGGTCGATATCCACGCCTCCCTGCAACGACTACAGCCCTACCTTACTCGCAATGAACAGGAATCGAAATGGGTGGACCAACTAAAGGGCTACCTCGACCGCCTGAGATCGTCTAATCAACCGCAGAGCCCAGAAGAACAGTTCAATCAACTATACGCATTACGGAAGTGGCTGTTCTGGGTCCCCATCTCACTTCTAGCTGCGAAGCGTGGAGATGTCAATGTCCTAGTTGTTCTGGCTCACTTCTACGCTACCGCGCTAGCCTTGGAGCCAATGTTCCCGGATGTTGCTTCTGTCTTTGTTGCAGACCTCTCTCTTCGCCCATTGGAGGAAATAAACCAGTTGGTCCAGAGTTTCCAAGACCCACGATACGATGCGCGCATGCAGACGATGTCCTATCTAGTGCAATTTCCTATCGACATGGTTTCGTCTTACAAGACTCGGCGAGAATGGTCTAGACAACAGATGACATCTATTTCGCCGATGCAGCAGCAGTCCGCCTACGCACTGGAGAGCATCAATCTGGACCTGGAAAACCACATCGCACAATACAGCTACGGCCAGAGCTTGTCTCCCGCCTTTGCTCCATCACCGCTTACGTTCCTTCCCCATGGCATGGCTTCTGCACCGACATCACCGTACCTCGAAGTCCCGCGATCTGGTACCGTCGACACATATGGCACCGCTAGCAGCTACGCATCGTCGAGCAGCTATGCATCTCCGCTGGGGTCGCCTGCAGCGCTGCTGCCGCCATACTCGGCCCCACAGGAACATGCATTCGCGTTTGGAATGCAATCTGGTTATCCCAGCGGGTTCGTGGCTACACCTATCTGGACGTGAACGACGCGCTGAACGATCCCCCAGGAACCAAATGACTACTCCCATGCAGATTGTGGCTTCTCAATCGCATCACCACACTCCCGCGCTGGATGATGGAGATGACAAAGGCCAGGCGTCCACTGCGGGGTACCTTCCCAGCCAGTACGACCACGCTTGAGAGCACTACGTCGGCGGAAATTCGAGGAACCCTGCGGACGTAGCAAACCATCACATCCGCCGGCCCGTCCTCGCTGCATCCACTGGTGTGCGAGACGAACAATTTCCGATCGATTGATCTCTGTCAATCATGACACCCGAGTCGGACCTATGACATGCCACCACTGGCACGGTGCTGTGGCTTCCGCCGTAAGCCGTTCATGGTTTGGCTGCCACGGCGCTTCGGCGCAATATCCGGAGAGACGCAAGGTGGACGGAACAACAAGTGGACATGTTTCGCACCAACATGCAACGCGCGCATCGTCCCCTGTTATGTCAGCCGCAGTTGGACCGGAGTTCGCTACATTGTAGGAAAAGGCGCATCGAACTGCGGGACTGATGCACGGCGTGGAGGAAGCCTGACGAGGCTCTCACAGACGCCACAGAACGATACAACGGACAGCGACTGCATTAGGCGGCTCACTACGACAACGGAGACTACTTTCTGCGAGATGCTTCCTCATTGAGGACAATCCGCACTTCCCCGAGTAGAGGCAAGGATACTTAGGCACCAGCAGATAGCATGCACAGAAGAATTAAGGTTGTCTAACACCGTCCTAGTTTCTCAGCCCTAGTCCTAGTTTCTCCATGTGATGGCCAGGGTCTGCCCTGCATGCTCGCGTGAAAGATGGACAGGTCAGCTACCAATTTTAGCCTCCTGCCGCCAATCACCACCGCGTACCCCACCATCGCTTCCCATTATCAACCCAGCACTGCGGGTTTACGTACAAGCATGTTGCCGAAAACGGGTTATCGATGCAGCGCGATAGTTCTCTCAAAGCCGCCAGGTCAGAATGTGCAGTTTTTCCGGGCTGGGTAGCCCTGACAAGAAGGATGTTTAGGATCAAAAGACAACGTGCGCTAAGGTATGACCTACAGCGTCGTGGGCTCGAGCTTGATGTCATACCAGTGCGCTGGATCGCTTTTCGCGGGTAGCGGGACAGGATTTGCTTTTCGCCAATCCCAGCCGCGCGTACACAACAGCACACCGTTCCCACCAGCCACCGTCTGCGCCAACCTTGTTTTGTGCGCGAATGCGAAAAGTCAGTGATGGCTGCACCGCCACAGAATCCCCCGGCTTGGCACACTACTCAGACACGCAGCAACCGGTCAACGTTGGCGAAGATAGGGCTGATGGTGAGGTTCTCGTCAAGTTGCGCATATGCGATGTCGATTGGCCGTCCGAGTCTCCATGCCCAGGAGCGTCGTTCGAAGGAATGCATAACGACAATAACGGGAGCGGCATCCATGTAAGCCACAACAGTGAAGGCGGAAGGTGCAAGCGAATTCCTATGACTTTCAGGCCATGTCCTCCGCTTTTTTGCGCTGCCTTCCCATCGCCATTACACACTTGCCGTCGCAACACTTGCTTGTCGACAAAGATGGCCGCCTTCGGCTCTGAGTCCCCAAAGCGGTTCACCGACAATTCCAGCACGTCGTCACATCTTAGCTAATAGCTCACGCGCCAGGGTCCCCAAGGTTGAAACTGCGCTGTAAGAACCATCGCCTCGGCATCTCGGTACTTGGACTGCAGCCAGGCATGTCCATGGTCTGCCCGACAGCGAGAAAGAGCTATCGGGTAGTGCTGCAACTTGCAGGCAAAAAAGTTTGGGTCTGCTTCAAAACATCCCAGATGTATATGCATCGTGGGAGTCCGGCAGGTCCTTAGCCGCGTCCCTGGTGTCATCGTTAGTTAGCGAAAGGAAGACTTGACCAGGGCAGGCGAGTACAACTCCGTGCACACCCACACGTCCTTCCTGGCACGCCTGGCTTCCAAGAAAACGTGCATTGGGAAGGACGAGAGAGGGCGACCCACAAGAAATTTCCGCCGTTCCTGAGGGAAGAAGCGCTCAAGCGGCTCCGCTCCCTTGGAACGTTTGGGCTCCGCTGTCTCCATCGCGCCCTACACGTTTTTCTCCCTGGCCGCAGCTCGTTGGTGAGGGACTTGTCCGTCCACCCCACTCTGACAGCCTTTCCCGCGGCCTCCATGTTGGCGTTTGCGGTGCTATTATGCCGAGATGTCGTCTCGAGGAGATACGACTGGAGCGAGTTGTGCATAAATGATCACTCATCACCAAGCACCAAAAAAACATCGGATGATGCAAACATTTCCACTCGCCATAATTTCCAACTTTTTCTGTCGCAGTATCCAGAATTCTGACCTGGCAGAACGCAACGGGCACTACTTGCTCACCAGCCCTGACTCGACCGTTAGTCGTTCTGTTCACCGCACTGCACAGACCTGGCTCGGATCTAGCTTTTGTCCGGCTTCCGAACAAGAAAACCGTGACGATCAACAGCAGTACCATAGAATGCGTGCTCAGTCGGCCGAAAGATGCGTCTGCCCTGCGCTCGCGCACCTGCCGTGCCTACAGTGCCTACCTGCAAGAAGGCAGATCGCGCTTTCTGACATGCCCCACGAGCCATCACCCCACGATTTCCACCAAACCCAAACAGGTCATTGATAATTTCTATTCTAGGGATCAAGCGTGCAGGGGTGGGTGCAAGCCTCACCGAGACGGTCGGACGGACGGTCGGTCGGTACATCATGTATGTATCAACATCAACCTAGGCGTGATGAAGCCGAGTGCTGGAGAAAGTTCCGAAGCGTGCGTGCGTTGGACGAAGTGTAGGATCCGCGCGTACGTACATAAGGGGTGGCTGAACTCGTTCTCGTAGCCTCGCGTCTGGCACGGACACCAGCGCATTAGCTTGCCCGACTTTGTCGCGTTGACGAAAAGTTTGTTTTACTTTGGTTCTGCTCGGACAAGTACGATCCGATGGTTCAATCTTCTGGCGCTCTTCTGGCGCCGCGTCGCATTGCCACGTTCTGACGCCCTCCAAAGGTTGGAAGCGAAGCCGACCGACCTGCTAACTTAATAAGTCGCGAATTAACGAACTAACCACCCAACTGCCTAAACTCTAGACAGACTTCCAACCATCGTCACTCGGAGACATCTCCTACACACACCTCTCGCTGCAAATCTGCCTGAACTCATTGCCGTCGTCGCATCCCACGATGTCATTCTCAGTCGATTTTCCCCCTCCGACCGCCCACCTCCGATAACTGTTTAGTCTGGGAGCTAAGCCTCACCTTCTATGCCTTCTATCCCTCCAAACCCCCCCGACTGGGGTCTCGGGGTCAGACTAAGCCGAATTCAGGCATATCTAAGACGGTAGAAGTTGACCCGATGGATGGTAGATCTGCTGTTACTGTGCATGCGATTGCGATCGCGATTGCGACTCTGCTGTGCTACTACAAACTGCTATTAACAGTAGCGAGAATGTTACCGTGAGGTTGCAAAAGGATCAGCGAATACACATGTCACGTAACGTGTGTATGTGGATGGGACGGTGTGTAAGATCGACGAAGAAGTAGTCGCGACGTCGCGAATCTCTGCAACGCGTGCGCGGCCTAGACATAAAAAACATAGCCACCAAAGATCGTCTTTGTCCCTTCGGCGTCGTACTAACCCGCAACCTCTGATTCGTACGTCGTACATCGCAACACCTTACAAGCCTGAGAAAGAGTGGAAATAGGTGGATAAGCAGCGCTCCTAGCTCTCGGTCTTACATCCCTCGCAAAACGGGCGAACTACGTTGGGTAACGTGACTGCGAGACGTACGCGGTGTTGATCGCTGAGAACGCGACGCGTGCTCGCACTACTGGCAAGGAGTAGCTTTTCACTGGCGTCTTACTCGGTACCATCATATCGTCATAAACGCACATGGCTAGCAGCGTCGCGCTAATGGGACGTGCCGTGGATACGAGAAGGGCCTGAGGTACGGTCGGTCGGTAGTGGGAATGTGGGTAAAGTAGGGGCTTAACTCGTTTTTTTATAACTCCGAAATACGAGGTTGGCGCGAAAAGAAGGCTTCTGGAAGGTGATTGGAGTGTGTGAGATTGGGTCGGTGGGGGTTGGGTTCGTTTGTGTATAACGAACGGATGTACCTGCGATCTTTTACATGGACTACGTTTATTTGGACACTCAGCATGTAGCTGCATACGCGAAATGGATGCAAGCCGCTTTGGGGAATGATGGAATTGTCTACTCCTCGGCCGAGTAAATGGGGATATGGAGTGTGGGTTTTTTGGGTATTGTTGTATCTGTTTGGAATCTTTGTGGAGAAACGGCAAATACCTTTGGGCTCCCTGCGAATGTATGGTTCTCCTTTGGAGTGCCGTAGTTGACGATGACGATTCTTCGGACTTGCCGATGATGGACATGTATCCTGCCATTTTCGTGTCTTTTTCTTCAACAGGGGGCATTGAGTGCATGCTTTGATCTTCGAAACGGCGGTAAGAGGAGAGATGGTTTAGCTGGTCCCAGTAATGAAACTGGCCGGACAGTGTCGAAGCAAGATTTCTTTGAAGAGTGAGGCATACCAGGTATTTGGAAGTGAGAAGAGCTTCGTGTATAAAGATCCTCCAGAAGAACTCACAGAGGTAATACAACACAGTAGAACGAACGAAAAGGTATTGTATTAACCCCCGAGATACTACAAAGCGTCGCTCTTGTCTGCAGGCATGCTTCCATCAATACGGCAGCCCAAGCGGCTTGCCAGCCCATGTGTTGTGATGAGCCTGAGCCCCAAAAAGTAGCTTCTCAAAATGAAGCCTTAGAAACTTGAAGAACATAACTAACAACGAACGAAAGTCATAGACGAAATAAAGAAGTGCAGCGAATAAAGCGAATGCCTGGTCCATCTCCGTGATCTTAGAAGGCGTGTGTGGTATCAAGCCGCATCGCGGTCCCTTGACCCATATACATGGAAGTGAGCAGAAATAGAGCGCGTACAGCCCTACGACAGCAAGTGCCCAGACTGATGCAAAGATGCACTTGAGCATAGTGCCCCGGCCAGGTAGTAGCGGAGCAAGAATTCTGGTGTACTGAAGACACCAACTAGTCGTTATCATGATTCCCATGGTCCACACTATGGGCGCCGACCATCCATTTATGATGTCTCCATTATGGAACAGTAAATCTGTCAATTGTACGATCGAAGGAAGAACAAGGCCCATGAGAGTGATCAAATTCCGCCTTCTGCATGATGGCGCTGTCTCCGTGGGTGTGACTTTGTGAGGCTTCCATATGCAGACCAACAGTTGCACCCAGGAATGCAGCATGCCAAGGTTCAGAACTGCCAGTGTTGCCTGCAAATGATGCGCTTGGTTCCAGATCAAGGACTCTTCTCTTTGAAGGTTTTCTGTCATGTTGTCGATTTGGGTTTCGACTAGTTGAAGTTGACTCGTAAGATCGTTTGTTGTAGGCACCGTGTACAAGTCCCATAGTCCAGGAATTGTCATATTTGGGGAATGAAGTTCGGCCCCTTGAATGTCTCTTGTAACCTTTTGCATTCTAGGTATTGCAAAGACACCCCGTAGTCCAGTTTCATCCAAGTTCGATGTCCAGTGTTTTTGAACGATTAATGTGTCTGTTCCGTTCTCAATACTGAAGAAGCGATCTCGGTCTAACTTCTCCTTCTTTGCAGCCAGTTCATCGAACTTTTGTCGCAAGGACAGAAATCGGAAAGAGTCCATAGCCGCCCAGTTCATGTATAGCGCAGTAGCGATGAAGTGGAAGTTGTGCGTGTAGTCCTTGAGCAGAATCGGTGCCCAAGACGCGGCGAGACTGATGCACCAGGCTGCCCATCCGCCTGGACCGTAGAAGCCGCTGACCACGAAATCCTGGTCACCGCTTTGGGTTCCGTTGAAAGCAAGACTAGTCATGGTAATGAGGCATGCAGACGCGTGCTGTTGAGTGAAGTCGCGAGACTACAATGATTAGAATAAAGAGAGACGCAACCGTGTGATGTTGCGTGAAGACCACAAGGAGGATAACGGTAGTCGAAAAGAGAGATAAAGTGGCATGTATTCAGCAAGATTCAAGCGAGGATGGCGGTGGATGTATGATTGATGATGCCCGGGCACTGCCTCACTTACAGCCTTGAGTGACGAGGGGCTGAGCAACCCCGCCTCACGCATCTGGAAGGCAGCAGCAACCAAGCCACGTCCTGCACGTGAAAGCGACATAGTTGCGTCATTGAAGACATCTCAGTGGCAGAGCATCTTGTAGCCACCTAGGTACGTTGACCGGTCGTCGCTTGCATGTAGTACTTTTGGCACTAGAAGTATCTTGCTACGCAATCAGCACAACGCCACCATCATCGCACCTCCCTTGCAGGACTGTATATACTACTGACTGTAAAGATCAACGTCTTGAAATGTTCGTACGTACACACTATGGCCTCTTGACTCCTCTTTACTTAGAGAGCGAACTTTGACATATATCACAAACTACTAATCATAATACTGCAAGATAGTATCATTGTCCTGAGAGAATTCTCAGTGTTGGAGCGTAACCTCCCTGACTAGACCTCGTAACCGCACGATGCGAGCGAGGCGGGCGAAGGTAAGTTGCGCTTCGAAAGTTGCTCGCTCTTTGCATAGCCGCTTTCTGTTCGTGATCGGGGATTCGTAAACGTCAATAGGGCTTTGTGAAGACATTATTATGAACGTTACGGTGCAGTCTACAGATAAGAAAGCCTAGAAGGGGATAGTAAACATAACATCCTTACTAGAGGTAAGAACTATCTCGAGAAGCTCCTTCTTCATGAAGCATACGCGTAGCCTTTTCCCTCTCTCCCCCTTTCTTTCCTTCCGCTTTCCTCCGCCTGAGCACTAAAGTAAAGTAATAACTAAAAGGTGGAATAAGGTTTTTGGCTATTCCCAACGTACATGCAGTGGATATCCTTGCAGCACAGAATAAGGCCATTAGAACTTTGTGAGCTTATTGCACCTCTCCCTTGCTATTTCACCTAGGTACCATGCCTTCGACGTCGCGAAGGACAACACGATATCAGTCATTCAAGGTCCAAATTACTTTTTTGCATCAAGCGGAGTTGTGCCTCTCTCTGGCAGTTCCAGAATCGTTTTAGGTCTTCAAGGATGAGTGACTCTAGTAGTGACTCTAAAACAATTACGGGGCTGCGCCATGGACTGTCCGCCCATGAATTATACGTGGACATTGTTCGTGTACTGAAAGAGGTACCGAGGGCTGTGGCGATACTTTGTGCGGTCGGGAGGATCTGAGAAGATAGAAAGTGAGATAAAGCTCTTCGACAGATTGAGTGAGCGCTGGTCTTCACTTTGGTGAGTCAAGTATGGCTATCTGGAAGAGTACCATGGTTCTCTACAGGGACGAAATAAGAGTTTTTGCCATTTGTACCATCTCTTTGCCTCTCTTCTTGGGACTTTTAAAGAAACCATGTTAGTGAGGCAGACACGTACCTAGAACTTCAGGTGCAAGAGCGTGTGTATTGACAATCCAAGCCTGTCGCTCTACAACTACAATCCAAAAGCCACCACATGAGCAGCTCTTTCAAACTGAACCATCCAATTTGATCTTCGCTCAAACACACATCGAGCCAATCTATCCCTTAGAAAACGCCATTAGAGCAAGAGAACCTTCGTGTGCTTCGATTCGTGACACCTCCCAGAAAGCAAGAATAAACGTAACAATGCTCGCTTCCATAAACGCCGGGTAGGATGGATCATAAGAGATCAGGCCGCTCAAAGATATCTTTCGCTACCATGCGCGCAAGCCATGGAGAAAGTCCCCGCAGCGGTACGTTTGATCCACAATGATCCTTCGCAATGGACCCAGCCCCAACAAAGATAGGAAAAAGTAAAGGTGAGCGATAGGGTATAGTGAAAAGACGCAATCTTCCTCTCAGATCCGCCAAAACAATGGAGTAGAGAAACACAAAAGAAAAATGACTTCCCATCTAATCTAGCGGGGTCCACGCGGTCTCACACCAGCTTCCGTCGCGCTCCTCACTCTGATGGTAGGACGCCGTATCTCGGGTGTATCAGCCATCGCAGCATCGTAGCTCGGAACCGGCGGGCTTCTTTCCCCAGACTGCTGCTGGTGTTGGTTCGACAAAAGCGGTGCTCGCTCGTCCCAGTATCCGTTTCTTTCGTGGTGGGCCGTGTTGCGCAGATTGGGCGAGCCAACAGGACTACTGTATTCCGGAGGGAGTTCGCCCGGTGACAGAAGACCAAGACCTTGACGTTGGTCGACGGGAATTGTGGTTGTCGCGTGATCATCGTGGCTAGCCCCTTCTCCGACATCTTCGTTAGAATCGACCAGACTAAGGGCAGCTAATGAGATGTCGGTTGGACTGCGTTGCGGACCAGGACTCGTTGGTACTTGGCGTCCGAGACGCATTTGCTGGCTGCTGGAGCGGCCGTGACCGAAACCGGCTTGGATGTAGCTTCCGCCCATGCCTTCTCTTATGCCTTCACGACCAGAATCGAGGAGTATGGATCCTTGTTCGCTGCCGTAGGGAGGTGGGGGTGCAAGACTGCCGGTTTGGGGGGCTAGACCCCATTTCTTGACGTTGGCCTCGATGAAGACGAAGCCCATTTGGCCGAAGTTGACGTGTACCTGGCATGGACCATTTGCGCCTACGGTGGGGAAGAAGTTTTGTGTCTTGAGTCCGTGGGCGACGTCGTCGAGTTTCTTTCCGTTTCGCGTGAAGAAGATTGTGCCTGTTCGAGGTCGGTATCCAACACCAATGACGTCTCCTTGAACGTAGGAGGGACCGTAGGCGGAGGGTTGGAAGGGCTGGTTGTATCGGCGGTTTCCATTGGACATGTATGATATCGAGGCTTTGTGGTATCCTAGAAGATGTCAGTACACGAAATATGGGTGGGTTGCAACAATCTACGAACCTGGTAATCTGAACAACGGGTACGGCTTCGTTGTGACGCCAATCGCAATGCTAGTGTTTTCGGGCTTCTCGTAGACCTTGGCTTCCCAGTAGTAGACTTCATTCTGTTTTGGTATCGGGAGGTTGCTCTGGACACTGCACTCCGAGTCAAAGAACTCAATCTCCGTGCGGCCTTCAACAAAGCAGTTGGCGATCTCCAGTTCCGGCTCGAATTCCCAAGCAGACACTCCCTTCTCTTGTATAGCCAAGAATTGCGATAGTGATATGTCGGTTTGAACGGACTCGGGCGGGTTTGCTTGCACAAATGCTATGGAGGTTAGCTGATACGCTTCCTGCACAATAACCTGCCGTATGCCATACCTTTCGCTCTCATGTACTCTGTTCTTTGCAGGTCATCCATATCCTCTAGCGCCTCGGCCTCCTCCTTGGCAAACTGCTGCTCATCGTCATATTCACCCGGCCGCGTTATCCGGTCGAGAAAGATGCGTCCTGTGTTGGTGTAGCGGAAGTAGTAAACAATGGCGGCGATGATAAGGCACACGCCCGCAGCGCCCAGCACGGAGAATATGCCTATCATAATGCCCTTGGCCGTCGAGCCGAGACTATTGTTGTATCTTGATATCCGCACATCATCGTGATGTGAAGCCTGTTGTCCGGTGAGGATGGTAGCATGCGCAAAGGGCGCATTGCCGGTCGGGTAGTAGGACCGGGAGAGCGTCGTGTGCGGCGAGCCCGCTTGCAGCGGTTCTTGAGGCAGCATATTCGAGTGCTATGGGGGTTGCGACTCGGTGAGAGCGGTTGCGATAGGCGCAGCAGCGCTCGTGCCGGGATGAAGTCGTCCAGTGGAGTCGCTGGACGGATCAGTGGGGGCCGGTAACCACTCGTTGACGTGCCGCGGCGGATGGCTGGCAGAGCTGGCGGCGGGATAGCGACGCGATGGGTCGTGGTGAAGGTGCGAATTGCCGTCGGTAGCAGTGCGCCGTCGAGGGTGAGGGTGAAGGAAAGGCGTCGAAGTGTGATGATGGACTGGCGTGATTGTGAGATCGGCGTGAGACGTCAAGTGCCTGACGCAGCTTGGCTTGGAATCGCGCGGCGCTTTGCCACCTCCGCCTGCACACGACACTCTGAGTCCCCGGTCCTGGGTTCTGCCGATCTACCCGTCACGTTACAGATTCGCCGCGAAACACAACACCTGCGAAAATCAATACTTTTCTAGACTTCAACGGCGTCGCCTTAGCATTGCGCTGGCTCCCATCGCTCTCTTGAAGCGGCAACCTCGACCATGGTAGTCGTCGCGCAGCAATCCAGACCGAAAAACCAACTCAGACTTGCATGGCCACGACATCATGCGTGCACCACACTTCCAGAACGCTGCAGCTTTCCACGACACAAGAGAAACCGCTAGACTTGCATCAGTTTCGGTTCCGCTCCCTCGTCAAAAGTAGACATATCGCTACTCCAGACATGCCAGAATAGACAGTGCCAAAATTAGTCCTCTACTGATTGCTTTTGTTCAGGCGCGGGGAAATGCTTTCTGAGGCACTCGATCCACTTACTATCCCATGTCGTACAGTCCTGAAACACCAACATAGCAGAGCCGCCTTCAAAGGCGCTTCAGCAACTAGCGTCTGTGCCTGATATGGGTAAGCCCTATCAATATCTCGTTACTGCATACATAAAGAGTGAAGTGCTCTTTCGGGCTCGTCTCCATGTTCTGAAGTCAGCAACATGATTGCTCATTCTTTTTCAACGCGCGAGGGGATTTCTTTAAGTTCCCGACGACTCAGTAGCCTGTCTGACATCATGTTGTGCTCAATGGCCGATTGTACTGGAATTTCGTCCCACGCTTTCATCACACACAGCCTGGACATCAGCCTTGCGTTGTTCTATGGATAGGATGCCGACCCGCTCACCATTGACGTCAACGGTGTCAAAGCTCATACCCTGAACAATCGATAGCGGACCCAATACATTAACGAAGAAGAAGCAAAAGTATTCATGAGTTATCGAATAAAGCGGATGATACATGGCTTCGTAGCTTTGACGAAGCAATTGGAAGATTGGAAGCAAGCCATGCTCTCTCCTAGTAGAAATAAGGCGAGTTGAGTGAGGACTTCGTGCATGGTCGAAAGGGAAAGTCCGTGCAGAATATTGTCAGATGACATCGAACAACAGTACACTCGCGCAGACGTTTGTTCGAAATGGTGTAACTTGAAGATGCATCAAGTCGCATGCGAACCCAGAAGTAGACGGCTATCCACAGGAGTATTCATCGGCGTAATATCCTGCCTTCATAGA